CCGAAAAAGCATAAAGGTTTCAAAGCACACAAAAATAGAATAGGCACAAAGAGACGCAAAAAAAAAATCGAAGCAATCAACTGACCATTGCCGCAGTTATCATGGAAGAAGCGGAAAGAGGTGTAAAAAAAAAGAATCAACAGTGGTCATGGTGACTGTGTCAGCTATCAACATAGTAGGGAGACGTAAAAGGAATCATCGAAAAAAAACAGAACCAAGCAACCCAACCAATGGACCATCGCTTCAGTTATCATTGAACAAGTAGGAAGAGACGAAAAAAATACAATCAACATTGCTCATGCTCATGGTCTCAGCCACGGAGAGCAATTGCGGGCGACATGGACACCCTGAATGAACTGGGGGTCACGTGGCCGAATTAACATGATGAAGGTTACCTTTGCTTTAACGGGGCAAATAGATGATCACTGCACCAAACACTAAAGATTTATTGTGTATCCATCACAGCACTGTCATATTCCCTCAAATTAATCTAACAGCAAGAGGAAAGTGTACTCATCATTGTACATGACCAAAATCATGAGCACCGCAGTGCACTAAAATACGAGACAAATACAATTGACATAGTGATGTCCTCAAAATCATGAGCACTGCAGCATACTAAAAAATCAAACAAATATCATTGACATGCAAAATCATGAGCACTCCAGTGTACTAAGAAATCAAACAAATACCATTGACATGGTCATGTCATGAGATATATGCCATGACACGTAGGTAGTCTCAAGATCCAGCTAATCTGAGCAGATGACAAACGCAAAAAAAATCTGCAGTAAGGCAGTAACCATGTAGATTGGCAAGGGAAAAGTGGGAGATCTAAGGTCAAATTGACCTTGGCCTGTTGGATTGCATCCAAATCGCAAAGCAATGGCACCGCACATGGCAGATTCACTGCATGTAGAGTAAGGAGGGGGAGAGAGGGAGAGCGTGTGAGAGAGGGAGGGAGGGAGCAAACCAGCGAGCGGATGGATGAAGGAGGAGCCACGTGAACGGCGTGCAAGAGGCCGCACAGGGGGGCTGACGGCCGGCAGTCGCGGCCACCGGCGTCGCCCACCAGCGCCGCGGCGTGCGGCTGTGCGGCCGAGGCCCGGTGGCGCCGCTGCACCGCACCCCGGGGCACCCTGGGGAGACAAAACAGAGACACCCGAACCCGCCGGTGCGCCGCGCCTTATATACACAGCCGCCGAGCCGCGCTACTGCCGTGCCCGGTGACAGGGTTTGTCCGCAGGTGAGCGGGCGACGACAAGGCGTTGATGGTTTCCACGCCGCAACGGGCCACGCCCCGTCTGTCTCCACTATGCCGCTTTGTCCTCGCTCGCGTTTGGAAACATCGAGTTGAGCTGCAGCGCTCCTTTGTCAGGTGGTGGCGGCGAGACGGACGGGCCGCGTGCGCGCGCGCTGCTCGATCCAGGCGTGCGTGCGTGTGTGTACGCGCGCGCGTGTTTTTTACGGTTTCCCTGACAGCATCCAACATGCTGCAACAAGGAGGCTAGTATCCTTCCGTTTCACCGGTTGAGTATGGTTTTGGCGCTGCGTCATGGCGACAATCGACGACAAGATAGCGGCAAACCGATCTGAGAAACCCGTGCGGGGATTTTGGCTGGGCTAAGCTTGTCCGCGCCTGTACGACGCGCCCAGGCGTCTTGTACGGTTCACCGGGCGGGTGAGCAGTGAGCGGCTGACACACTCGTCGTCCTTAAAATATTTTGTTGAGCTCAACAACAGCAACTGCTCTTATCATTTGCGCACTAGCAGATCCGCCATCCTGCGTTTGGTCGGACGAGACCAGCGAGAGCCAGCCAACTCGGCAACTCCGCCGGACGTTACAGGCAGGCAGCAGGGCAGGCACGGTCCGCCGCGCCGACGCCGTCGCGTTCGCGTACGTGACGTGATTAAAAAAGAGTATTTGGAGAGCTTTTTTTTCTAGTAGTATGTTTGGTAGAGGAGTGGCACGAACTCCTCCCGGTGCCGTCCAATCTTCGTTGGTGTGCTGATCAACGGCCTAAGGTGTGCCAAGATGGGTACAATGTGAGTTCAAAAAAAGATGGGTACAATGCACTTGAGTACTTTTGTTTCGATTAGTAGACTCATGAATCGTGTGGGCGATATCATGAAGTTTAGGTTTACAATAAAATAAAGCTAGACAAGAATCGTGTGATTTGGACCATTTATTATAAACTTTTAGGTAAAATACATTATTATTTTTATGTATTGTATATTTTTGTAAGTGTTTCAATAACAAGTATACTAGTCAACTACGAATGGGTCCGAGACCTAAATGATTCTTTTATGGCGATCGTGTTGCATTTTTTGTGGGAAAAAAAACGTAAGAGCGAATTAAGAGTTGATTTATTTTTCTGGCGCAATAAAAACATGGACACTCATTTACCAGGTGGCTAGGGCAAGTCAATCCTGTGGAGACTATGAGCCTACTTAGTTCAGCAAAAAAAAAATATAGACATGTATTTGGTTGAGTGTCAAGACATGGAATTGATCACTTTTTTTCTTAGTTATTAAAGAAGTTCCTTGTGACTTGTCAAGATTTTTGTCATAAACATTGGTGTGCTCATCTTTTAACAGCAAATTTTGTAGGCATATCTTAATTTAGACAAGACAAGTTTTGGAATGCAACCAAGCAGTCCCTATGAGTCTGCTTGGTTCTCTTCATACCTCTGTCGCTCGCCTTGCCAGCGTGACCCAGGGAACAAAATCCCTGCTTTCATCACCAGAGGTTGGAGTGTAATCGGATAGAATATGGTCTGTCCAGACGCGTGATGGTGGGTGAGGCCCGTTTATTGCTCCTGGTGAACAAGCGGTCCAGAAGGGGGAGTTCAACGAGGGTGAGAGAGTCAATGGTGTTGCTAAACCGCTCGACCAAGGTATCGTTGAAGTTGCGAGTATTCTTTTTAGAGCGAGTTGATATCATAAACATAAATATTTTTTATATAAATTTGACGAAACTTAAAAATTTAATTTAGAACAGCCTTAAAAGTTGATCTATCTACGAATGGAAGGAGTACAATAGTGTTACTAACGGCTATGCTTTGGCTCTCACGACGTAGAAACAAACATGAGCCATGCTTTATCCAAACAAGATTTCCCCTCCTGAGCGGATGCTGCCGTACCTAGTAGGATACTTTTATTTTAACCTCAAAATTAGGGACATGCTATATTTCATATGCCTGAAAATATAGTTTCTGTTCAGGCGATAACTACAACCATCATATTTACATGCAACGATCCTAATCTATAGAAGGATAAGGATCCGATCAATAAAAAGCTGTCGCCTGGAAAGAACCCACATTTCAGGCACCCGAGCAATAGGAAATGTGTCCAAATTAATATTTTAAAAAGGAAAATTTTAAACTAACTTTTTTAGGAACTAGTCTGTATTTGGATGTGCTCTTTTTTTAAAATATTGGTATTTTGAGATAAAATAAAAAAAAGTTGGCCTGCCAGTCATGACTTGTGACCGAACATGAAAGAAGCAGGGGAGGAAGAGGATCTTACGAGTACCACCCGCCCGGCCCACGGCCGAAGCCCCACCTCCTGTCAACACACCGCAGGGCGATGCTGACGCCACTCATGACTCGTGAGAATCGGTCCTGCTCTTGTACGCCCTGTTTTGGCCCCGTTTGTTTCAGCTTTTCTGAGTCTCGCTTATAAGCTGAGCAAGCTTATCTGATAAGTCACGATCTGAAGAATCTGCTGTCTGAGGCGTTTGGCTATCCTGATTATTTCTGGTAGATTATCTGTTCTGGATGTAAATTGACTTATGTACCCCTGAGGCTAATGATACCTCTTTTAATTCGTTAGAATGATCGGAAGGCAATGGTGGGAATATTTTTAAAGTTTGAGATAGCAATATGGTTCCATTAAATTGCAATGTACAATAATAGTCGTAAATAACATCCATTTGGGTATTGTAATTGCTACAAAATACTCAAGTTTCTAACAATGAATCACCCAACCAACGCATTAGCAATAGCATCACGGAAAGCACACATATTCATATCATCCGCCGAACCAGCACCATCAGCTGAAGGAACTTGGGACCCAACACCAGTACTGTCTTCCACATAGGTTTCAAAATGTTCATCATATATGGCATTGTCTCTAATAAAATTATGAAGAGCCATGGAAGCAACGATAATCTTTGATTGCTTCTCAATTGGATAGCTAGGTAACTGTAAGAGAGTGCGCCACTTCATCTTGAGAACTCCAAATGACCGCTCAATCACATTTCGGAGGGATACATGAGCATAGTTGAACACCTACTTCCATCCCACTGCATGACGACCATGTTGCCATTCGGGCACATGATACCTTTGTTCCTTGTAAGATGCTAGATATCCTTTTCTATTAGGATACCCAGAATCAACAAGGTAACACTTGCCTTCAGGGGGATGTGGAAATTTATAAGCCATAGTTGAAAGTACTGTTGGTTGATTTGGTGTGAGAGATAAATATTGTTCGTTAGCTGATAAGTCATGACTTATAAGCCAAATTCGACCTAAGCGAACAGGCCGGTAATTAAGGTGGCTAAGATGAGGTTCGGTCGTTTGGCCCCACAACTCATCGAACTGCCTTGCGTCAAGTAGAGCGTCAGAGCTGCAATTAACCTGTCTAGCGGCTTGATTTAACAGAGTGATGATACGAAACACGTGAATTGGAAAACAGCACAAACCCAAAGCGATTTGAACAGAAAACCACGATAACAGTACATAAGATTCACAGATAGCAGACCTGTGATAATTGTAATACACAGGTCCCTGGTAATACATAAGCAAAGGTACAATACGATACAAGCCCACACGAGGCTCGCAGGCCTCAAAGCATGCAACAAGGAAGCAGAGTGAACACAGGGCAGCTCAATCTAACACATGCAAACCATACTAATGGCGCTAGCTTAATACGTATTATTTTCTTGCTACAACGACGTACCACAACGTGCGAACGCGCATACAACGTCGTACCAGGAGCTAGTTCGGCGGCGCAAAGAAGTAGAAGAGGACGGCGTCGGCGACGGCTGCGCCGGCCCCTGCCGCTCCCGGGAACTGGTTGGCCACCGGCGCCAGCAAGATGAGGAACACGCCGAGTAGCAGAAGCGCGAGGCCGAGGAGCGCGTGCTCTTCGTTCGCGGCGCGGTTGCTGAAGGCGTAGGTGAGGACGAGCCAGCCGCCGGCAACTAAGATGCGACCGAAGTAGAGGAGGCGGCGTTGAACGTGGTCGAGGAGCTCGGCGCGGGCGCCGATCACCTCCGGTTCGTCGGCCTCAGGCGCGAAGGCCACCGCCTTGTCGCCCATTGCGTGGGTCGTCGGAGTGGCAGGCGCGCTGAATGCAGTCGACTCGAGGGTGGATGCTGCTGTGGTATGCGCGCAGTGTGCTGCGTTCGGGAGACGAAGGCCAGAGATATAAAAAGGGCCAGCGGACGAAGAAAAGACTTGGGGTGGAGTTGGGGTGGAGCGAGATGGGACTTGGTTGGGGTGGAGCGAAAGGAAAGGCGAGGGAGGTGGCCCCCCCCACACAAAGAGAGATTGGCGGTGAGCGGCATCGCACTCCACATTGAATCCCTCGCTTGCTCCAGCTCAACCTCTCCCTTTCTGCCCCTGTCTGTCTCCGGGCTAGCGGATACCGGACACGCACGCTCTCGTACTGCACTGCACACTGCCGTAGCTCGGTTTGGCTGCTTGCTTATCCGTCCTCATCCTCCTGGCCTCTCGCCGCTGCATCAGCCGGCAAACCTACCGCAGTACACCTCTCTCGGCTTAGGGCATTCTTAACAATAAAATATAGTTACTAGTTCTAAGATAATAATTATTTTAAACACTAGTACTATTTTTTTTTCTCCGATCAAATATGATTATCATTTCTGGACAGCTGCATCAGCTGGCCTCTCGCCGCTGCATCAGCTGGCAAATCGGTATAGCTCTCTCAGCTTAGGGCATTCTTCTACCCAACTAATTCACCAACATTTTCTTTTCTAGATTCACACAAAAAAACGTCCCCTGCTGTGATACTCTTCCTCTATCCAGTCAGAAAAATATACCCAGCAAAATAACAATTTCAAAATAGACTGTCCAGATTTAGTCTGAACATTCTCTCTCCTTGCTCACTCAGATGGAACGGTGCACGTTGTGCGTGTCAACCACCTCATCCCTCGCATGTCCTCCCACGCCGCGCCCAACCCCACACGCCTGCTCCCGCGTAGCCACAGTTCGATCCCCTCCCCCTTCTTTTCACCGATTGCTTTTTTCAGAAAAAAAATCTTCCTTGCGCCGCCCCTACCTCCAACCCTCCCCGTCCCGATCCGCGTCATCACTCCGTTAGGATCTGCGGCCACCACCCCGAACTAGGCCCCCGACCTCGCCCTCCCCATCCCCCCCCAACGAACACGCGACAGTCGCCACCGCTCCATCCTAATCCACGCGCGATGCCCGCCGCGGCCTGGGGCGCGCCTCCTGTTGGCGCTGGTGAATTTTTTTATTTTTAACATTTTTTGTAAACTAATTTTAAATCTAACACTATTTTAATTTTATTTTCAAAACTAACACTTTTGGTCACGCATATTTCCCTGGCGCGGCGAAACGCCTGTGCCGCGCCATGCATGGTGGCGCGGCAAGAGGCATGACGTGGCGACGACCGGAGCGCTGAACGATGACGTGGCAGGGTCTGCCGCGCCACCGATCTTGGCGTGGCAGTGACGCGCCCTTATCGGTGGCGCGGCAGAGCCGGCTAAAGGCCCGTGGCCCAGTCCCGCCTGCCTGCCGCGCCAGCCTGCCTACCTGTCCACCGCGCCTTCGCGCCCGTCGCGCCTGCTCGCAGCCCCGCCTGCCTGCCCGCCACTCCCAAGTGCTGTCGGCGCCCGGCCCTCTTGTGGCAGAACCCGCCGAAACAACGCACTTACGGAGGCGCTCGTCTTCTACCAGATACTAAGCACCTCGAAAGCAAGCTACAGCGGGCGGGTTTCATCGGGCACACCCCAAGAGAGAGCCTGAATAGTCCACATTTTTCCTGCAGGATTCAATAATGAGAACGAGCTTACATTGCTTAGTCCATTTCATACATCTAGAGCTCTTAAAAATGGTATTATTACATCACCAAATTCAGAGTGCGGAATATTAAACAGCGGAATGAAAATTAACAGTGAGTAAACATCTATCGATAATAAGTAAGGATCCGTCTGTGCCCACCAGAAGAATCCTTCACACGATAGCTACGTCTCAAGCAGTACCTGCAATATGGGTAAATAAACCCTGAGTACACAATGTACTCGCAAGACTTATCCGACTAGTGGGAATAATTTCCCGACTCCAAGAAATATGATAAGCTTTATAGTTTGTTGGTTTCCTTTTTGCAGAAAGGAATACTAATAGTGAATTCTTATTTCTGTTATTAGTAACAGTCATGATTCTTCCATTACCTAGTCATTCTATGTAAGCATCTGTTCTACTTTCAAGCAAGAGTTGAGCAAACAGTTCTATTTCATTATCTTTTATCTTTCAGTTATTACTACGGTGCTAGAGTTTAGACAAGCCGTACCGGATTGCCCGGTGATTCACGAATAAATGTGCCCAGCTGGGTACCCCGAAAACATACGCCCCGCTTGTACCCTAGGCACAAACAGGACCAACCCATCACTCTCCTATCACGGGGTCCAGGTCCCCGTCCAAACTTGGACTCCAAGCCCCCGCTCCTGAGTTCTGGACTTAGTGCGGTGCTTAGACCTCCACCATCCCCGCCTCCAATCAGTCGGTCTGGAAAGAGCCGGAATCCACGATAAGAGAGCAACAAGCCTTCCCTGCGCCCATACCCAAGTATGTGCTCGGGATAATAAATATGTGACTTGCCTAGCGTCTATTGTAACGGCCGGTGCTTAACCGACACAGACAGGGAAAAAGTGTAACCAAGCTATGCCCCGTTGGTCGCAGGACACAACCTCTTACACCCACCAATACCCAAACCATATCCCTACCTGGTCTTCATTTTTCCTTTGCACCATTTTATCATGAGTGATAATAATCACCTATTGTGAGTAACGATAGGTTACTCACGCTACCGAAATCCTAAGCATAGCAGCTACTCGACCTATACTAGTAGGACTCATAGGTAGATATATTTATGCATGTAGTTTTCATAAAATGCCTGTAACGTAAATGCACATCATATATATCCAGTGATCATTCAAAATAAGGGTTATGCACCGGGGCTTGCCTTGGGAAGGCGGTGTGTCAACAAAGTCAGCAATGAACGGCTCCAGGGCTCCCTCCTGTACGAGAATCTCCTCATACTCCTCAATAATCTCCTCGTAGTCCTGTTCGTCCGCAGGCACGAACTCTACCAACTTGTTATCTACATGCATGAAATGATGATGCAACACTTAGTAATACGACAACAACTCTTAAAATACGAATACACCTATCAAGTTACTAAGCTAGTTCTACCGGCTAAGGTGCTAAGTTACCTATTGTTACCACCAACAAGTATGAAATATTTCATACATTAACTTAGCAACTAAAGGCATCCTTATCCTTACTATCGATTTACTCTCTATATGATAAAAACAAGGAGCACTAGCTACTCTTTTTATCAACCTACTATAGGGCTACAAAAATTACAGTGAGTGTTTAATAATGTTATGAGTCTTCTGTAAAAATTTTAGAGCTAGCACTTCTACCATTCCATCACAAAAATTCTTTCTCTAAATAATCCTAATAACGACAAGCATATTACAATAAATAAAGTAACCCTAAGGCTACCACAGAACTGTACGAGCTAAATACACTAAAAGCTAGAGTATGAATTTAGGAGACTAACGAAATTTACTTCACGATTTTTGGACCCTTACATAATTTTATACTAATTATCAAAGATAAGTTCACAACTTAATTTAGAAAAGCATGAACTAATTCATTAGAAAAAGAAAAGGCAATACAGCCCAGCGCGGCCCATCGTAGCTCGGCCCACGCTCAAGCAGCGCGCGCAAACGGGAGCCACGGGCGCGGCGCGCGAACGCGGCCCACAGCGGAACCCACGCGCGAGCTGGCTCTTTTGCTAAAGAGCCCCCGTTCTCTTTCCTATTTGCGAAGCTAACTCAACACTATGGCCCCGTTCGGCTTACCCCATATTCGGCTTGTTCGACTTCTTTTTTTAGCTGGAACAGTGTTTTTCTCTCACAACAATTCGGCAAGAGCAATGTTTTTCAGCCAGTTTCAGCCAAAATTCTACCAGCCGAATGGGGCCTATTTAACTGAGTCATGGATTTGCATCTAGCACCCTGCCCTTACTCGAATTCCTGGTTTTCAAGGTCCTTGGCCGGAACTAATAAAGGTCGTGGCATCTCCGCCGAAACGCCTGTGTGCACGGACCTCCTCGGCAGCAAACATCACCACCGTGACACTCTTCATCACAAGCGTAGTCAATAGAGATATAAAACACCACGATTGGTGCCGCACATAGATGTGGCCATGCACCACGGCGGGGTTTGGCCGCGGTGACACTGACGCTAGTGAAAACGCCTAGATCAGCGTTACCATCACTACCTAGACTCCATGCCTAGAGTACTGATAACATTCTGGAGGTCCTAGACATACCCATTCTACTCCCAAACGAGCCAACCATGTACACAACATATGCACTATGTTCGCCGGAGGCGACCACGCGCTCCTGCGAGCCTCGGCCCTAACCGGTTCAACCATCTACCCGAGGAGCAGGACGACCTCACCAGAGACACGAAGAACGCCCTGGACGAAGTCATGAGGCTCGGTAAGGTGGTTGGCCACATGCGCGGGGTTGCTCTGGTTCACAGCAAGCGCGGCGACGGCGTCCTCGGTGACTCGCTGCACTCCTGGTGAAACTGTTTCACAGGAGAGGCAACCAAGTCAGGGAGACGCAAAAGCACCGCTCAATTGAGACAAAGGGGCAAGGAACGATGCCCTGGCCGAGCACCCACCCCGACGGCCATGGCGGACCGCCGCGAGGAGAAAGATCCGTAGTACCTCACTGGAGGATGAAGGTTCGATAGGTCGACTCCAATCGCGAGCTAACCACTAGAGCTAGTTAGGTGCACGGTTAATTGGACGAAGGTGGACGGTGCGAGGCCAATTGGGTGGACGACATCGTTCGGTCTTAAGGTGGTCGGCGGCGGGGGAAACCTCAACCTGAAGCCCGACATTGTACGACTGCAGCATTGGCTGGCTTAGCGTGAAGCTAGGCTCCAATTCAAGCTCCAGGCATGCGCAATTACACGGATGGGGCCAGGCTATGCGGGTTGGCCTTGGCGCGGCTCGGCAGGCCGGCTCGACGC